TCTCTCTCAAGAAGTTGTCCCTCCATCATTCTCTTCCAATCCAACTTCTAATGAAGAAGTTAGGTGGCAACGTTTGGATGTTAGGAACTGTCTGTCTCAATACCTTTTTCATTCTAGGTCATACCGAAAGACTGACCAACTCTTCATTCTACCTTCAGGAGCTAGGAGAGGTGAGGCAGTTTCTTCTGAAATGTTAGATTTCGCTGATAATCAGGAAAGTGTATGTCTCTAAAGGTCAGCCTCCTCCAATAAAGATAAGCACACATTCTACCAGAGCATTGTCGACTTCATGGTCTAATTGGGCAGCGGTTCCATATGATGATATTTGCAGATCTGCCACCTGGTCTTTCCCGATGATGTTCATAAAACACTGAAAACTGGACGTGGCCTCTTCGACCTTATTTGAGAAGAATGTTCTGTCTACGGTTTCTTTAATCCACTGATATAAAATTTATTTGCAGCATGAGTATCTTTTATAGTGTCTTTTTCTTGGTTTCTTTATTCCCACCCTATATTTCTGTGCGCTTGGGTATTACCCTTAAGTGATGCAGCCATGATTAGCCAGGAATAGATAAAATTTGACAAATTTACCGTAATTTTCTGCTAAGGGAGGAGTTACCCATAAGTGATGCCGACATGAGAAATAGCCAGGAAATGAAAATTACGGTAAGTTTGTCATAAATTTTCTCTAATTAGTGATATTGCAGAAGGTCTTGATGGTAAGGTATGTCTTTTTGCTGATGATACTAAGATATGCAACAAGGTTGATGTTCCAGGAGGGATAAGCCAAATGGCAAATGATTTAGGTAAACTAGAAAAATTGTCAGAGTTGTGGCAGCTAACATTTAATGTGGATAAGGAAAGGGATTTAGGGGTAATTATTTCAGATGACTTAAAGGTAGGCAGACAATGTAATAGAGCAGCAGGAAATGCTAGCAGGACAGAATGCTTGGTTGTATAGAGAGAGGTATTAGCAATAGAAAGAGGGAAGTGCTCATGACATTGTACAGAACACTGGTGAGACCTCACTTGGAGTATTGTACGCAGTGCTGGAGACTGTATCTCCAGTAGGATATTGATACTTTAGAGAGAGTTCAGAGAAGGGCTACTAAACTGGTTCATGGATTGCAGGATAAAACTTACAAGGAAAGTTTAAAGGATCATAACATGGTATAGCTTGGAGGAAAGACGAGACAGGGGGGATATGATAGAAACATTTAAATATATAAAGGGAATCAACACAGTAAAGGAGGCGACTATATTTAAAAGAAGAAAAAAAAACTACCACAACAAGAGAACACAGTCCTAAATTAGAGGTGCAAAGGTTTAAAAATAATATCTGGAAGTATTACTTTACTGAGAGGGTAGTGGATGCGTGGAATAGCCTTCCAGCTGAAATGGTAGGGGTTAACGCAGTAAAGGAGATTAAGCATGCGTGAGATAGGCATAAGGTTATCCTAACTATAAGATAAGGCCAGGGACTAATAAAAGTATTTAGAAAATTGGGCAGACTAGATGGGCCGAATGGTTCATATCTGCCGTCACATTCTATGTTTCTATGAAGCAGAAGCAAGCTAGGTTAAATGTAAGTGGAGGATCCACCTATGAGGTTTGCCTTGACGTGGCAGGTGGGCTTACATCTAATGGCCTTGGAGTTGGACTAAAAATCTCCATTTATATAAATATGCACAGGGATTTGGAATAGTGTGCAAGTAACTTTTTCTTTGGTTATTATTGTATGTATTGGGGCTGATGTGTACTATGGTGATTGCTGCCGCCCAGGATTAGTGGGAGTTTGTACGCAGGACTTTTGTGTTTATATTAATATCTGGCAATCAACTTAGCTTGAATCACTTTTGCAACTTGGTAATTATCCTGTAAAACAGAAAACTGACCTAGAAAAAGAAAAATGATCAAATGGAACGTAGTATAGCCTTCTTGGTTTGCCCGGTAAGTATTGCAAAGGGGTATTTCATGAACTATAAGTTTTTTTAATCTGGAAGGTAGTCTGTCACACAAGGACCGGAAAGTAACAATACAAATACTTTTAAAAGAGCCTCTTGAAAATGTTACTTTTCTTTATCTGAGAACCTCCCCTTTCCAAGTCTAAATGCTTTAGACTTTATAAAGATGGGATTTCCTGTAAGCTTGTTGTTCCAATATTCTGTTAGTCTAATAGAAAAAACATTACAAAATAGAACTGAATGTCGCAATGTAATTATTTTCTATCAGGTGCCTTTCACTAACTAGTTGCTAGTATTTGACACATGCGTAGGTAACAAACATGGACTATGGACTATTTTAACTAGGTTTTCTCAGTTGTAGACACTGACATAGTTTACATTTTGTCCTTTCTAATATCACTTGTATATAGCCAGTGGTTTGTACAGTGAGCATTACCTCGCAAATTTACATGTATCTCTTCCGCTAGTGAGGAGGAAATGCTCTGTCCGATTCTCAATCAAATTTCTATCTTCTTCACTATCACCGTATTCAACCTCTACAACAGAAGGTACTAGAAGTGGGAAATCATTGTACCGTAACAGAACTTATTAATACATCCGAGGTTTGTTTTGTTCTTTGTTCGCCTCATCAGTGGACTATCCGATGATTAAATACTTAATTTTACACATGTCCTATAACATATGATAGCCTGATAAACTCTTCATGAATTTCTCAAAGAAAAAAGCAACCACAACTTCAACACTAGGTCACGTGCTGTCAATTAAACTATTGTGTTGCTTGAATGTATCGAGATTTAATATTCATTATTCCTTTTTTTTTTTTCTTCTTCTAATTCTGACATAACTAATTTAGGCTGACTCAATTAATGTACCTGTTCGCACATCACAGTTAATGGTAAATTTTCTGGGGGGAACCAAAGAGAACCACAGTGAAATGTGCGTATATGTATAGTGTATTGATTTAGTTTTAGTTCTTTTAGAAGCAAAGCTAGACAAATATATATACACAAGGCAGGGACCAAGTGACATAATTCTGTCACATGTGGTTACACAACTGATGGGTTTTCAGTACAAATGTTGCAAATTTTCATATGTGCACAGATATATATGTGTCAGGGTTATCCACTAACAGGCTTATTAACTAAAGTGAGAATCAAAGTGAATTTCAAATTTAAGGTATCTTAGTCGGATATCCTTCCAATTCAGATTCTTTGGCCTGAAAATAAAATAAAAATCTAAATTCACTTTAAATTTTCACTTTAGTTAACCATATGTTTTCATATGCATGTATAAAAGCCATGTGTCGACTGCCGTGGTGCAGGTTCAGGCTGTGTGACGGACCACCTGGCACCCCAACCGGTTGCCTCCGCCAACCGATGCTCCTAGTGCTCACCGAGGACTCCAAGCACTCCACCCGACACCATCAGCACTGTAGTCCTCATGTCCAGTGTTACAGCTTGGCTGGGAACTCGCCATCAACCACCCACCCAGGATCCAGGTTCCAGTGGGCAGACCTCTCCTACTCCAGAGAACGTAGCAGGAACAGCTCTTAGAAGAGATAGTGATTGGAGCACTCCCAAGAACAGGGATTATAGCAGGTAAAGCTTTCCCCTACAATCACGAAACAAGGCTCTGTGTTGAGGGTAAACAGCAACTGAATTTTAATGGTGCCGCACTGGCCTTTTATGCAAGTCCCCAAGCAAGGTGTATGCTCATATGGAACTTGTTGGGGACAGGGACACAAAGCTTACAAGCCAATCAGAACAGTAATTAAGTGTAAGACACTCCCATAACAAACATACAATCCCTCCCCTCTGCCTGTGAGATAATTGAGTCAGATACTGTATTAACCCAATTATCTCCAGGCTGGAAAAATACATTTTACAAAACCCCAAAAGTACCCCAAAAACACATAAAATCCCCACAATTATTATATCCCCTGATATCCCTGATCTAGGTGACCAACATATCAAAAATCACCCAGTTCAGGGGTTCAGGAATTCTATGGAAGTCCCATTGACCGACCATATGCATGGTTTCATGCTTAAAATAGTTCCAGAGAATCAGGCTGTGCGGCTGGTCTACTTCGAGGATTTGAAATAACGTTTGAATTACTGAACAAAGCCGTTCATGGATATAGTCTGTGTATGTCTCTTGTTTTGGGGCATCTTCTTACCGAATGCTGTTCGACTCCAGTTCAAACAGCCGAACCTCCATGGAAGGTAAAGTTTTAGCAGTGTTCGTGACGTCGAGTGTACGATTTGAGGTCTATGCGGTCGATGCGTTTGACTAAATAAGATGGCTGCCGCCGCCGCCACCACTACACGGTCGAATGTTGAATGTTGAATGGCGGCCACTTCGACTCACTTCGACTGTTCAGGAGTTTGAAGTGCCACTTTGAACCACGGGAGTTTGATGTGCTACTGTACCAGTCCAAAAGAGCACAAACAGTATTCTTTAACCCCTTAAGGACCAAACTTCTGGAATAAAAGGGAATCATGACATGTCACACATGTCATGTGTCCTTAAGGGGTTAAACAAAGTTTATCACAGGGGTCATAGTCACAGGGCAGGAGGCTGGCAAACAGGCCCCTCCAAAAACCAGTGGCCACAGGCTGATACATTGAAAAATGTTCTGGTCAAGGACTGAACATTGACTGTTTTTTATGTTTTTTAAGAGCTGTGCTTTACTACTTTCCTAATAATGTATTTGCTTTTTTTATGTGCACTTTGATTGTTGATGGCTTGCCTCATTTTACATATCCAGGGTTAATTTGATAATGGCCTAAATTCCAAATATACTTATTCATTAATCTTTGCTGGTCATCTGCCAGAAGGGATCACCCAAATTAAAAGCTTTACTGTGCAACATGAGGCAGAGAAAGGAAAAAGGAAAAGGTATTTGAAAAAACAATCAAACAACCAAAAACGAATGAAAGTGAGAGGGGCAAACTTGACGAAATACAGTGAAAGAGTGAAAGGTGCAGTATACCACGAAGAATGATTAGTGAATTACTCATAATTGTGCTTTTCTGCATGTTCATATGGGGCTACTATCGGAAGCAAGGAGAAGATCCCCTTTACCCACCAGGACCCCCTACTCTCCCTATTCTGGGTAATTTGTGGACCCTAAGATTTCAACTTCATCATGAAACCTTCATTGAGGTAATCAAAATGGAGATACGCCAATTATATGGGGAAAACAATCGAAACTAGAAGGGTTATAAGCACCATATCAACTGCAAGTCATTGCATCAGTTATGGTTCTATAAGTCTATGGCCACTGTCTCAGTGTCTGTGTTTTGTGTATGTTCTTTTTCCATTTTGGTGTATACATTTTCAAAGACTGCAAATGTGAGTTATGGTTGCTGGGAAATACCTGATTTATGTCAAACTGCTACAAAATGGTTTGACCAAATATTGGGGATATTGCCCATAGATTCATAACACCATAACTACTATGATGAACTGCTATTATTATGGTGCTTAGTATGACTCTTTGCTAGCAGCAGCTGTCATAGTAATAGCTTCCAAAATTGGCGTACAACTATTTGTCTCCTGCCAGCTATAATGTCTAGGTATGCAAATATAGCATAATTAAATATTATGGTAGTAAAAAGTTAGAATCTTATGCAGTTCTCTGTGAGAATGGTTAAAAAAATCAGACAAAGGTACCAGAAACACATAATTTCATCCGTAATTACCAGAACTGGGATGACCATAATTATTGATAAATGCTTGTTTTTTTTGAGTAAAATATCCAGGTGCTTATCATGTTTAAAACACATGTACAGAACATTGGGTGAGTATGTTGCTTAGTTTATCATAAGGCTTGGTAAGTACAGGGTCACAATATTTTAGTACTGCAATCCGTAAACAATCTAAAATGTATATAGATGTCAATGACCGGCTTTCTTCTCTAATGGACAAAAGGGATTATTTTCACAGCAGGAGCTGTGAGAGAAGACTGTTTGCAAACCTGGATCCGAAGGTTGATCAGGTGATCATATTAAGCCTCTAAAATATAATGTAGGATTATCTTCGATTTCTAAGGGCTGCGTGACCAACATATCCAAGGCTATTAGTAATTGGTAATGTGGCCAAACCACATTGTGCTTTAAAAAAAAAATAAATAAAAAAAAAAAAATTATATATATATATATTTTAATTATTTGGGCCCTCTGATGCTTGTCCACGTGGCAGATCAACTTATATAAATATGATCAATGCAAAGATATAGAGAGAAATATTTAGACAATGAAAAAAGGTGCCGATTCGTGTGCAAAAATGGCTACCCTATTGTCAGAGTACTGCCATGCTTATATGGGTTGGGGACTGTCCAGCAGTTCCAACGCTGACCTCTGTGGTTTTTGTACCCTCTCTGTTCTTGACTTCTGGTTCCCCAAACCTCGGCTTGTCCCTGTTTACTCTCTGTCCATGTGACGTCAACCCGTCCATTCTAAGGTCCGGTACAGTGGCGTACATACCCTGCGACCCGGTATGTAGCCACTGGGCCAGCCTCTTCCCCTGGGGGGGCCAGGAGTCGACCACCCCAGGGCCCCCCGAGGCTGGCCCTGCGGTCACCGGGCGGGCAGGCGGGCGCGCGAGGGAGCACTCAGTACTTCCTCTTCAGCTCCCTCGCGCACCGCAATGATACCGGAGCCGGAAGATGACGTCATCTTCCGGCGCCGGCATCCCTACGCGGCGCGCGAGGGAGCTGAAGAGGAAGTACTGAGTGCTCCCTCGCGCGCCCGCCTGCCCGCCCGACCGGCCGCCCGCCCAGGAGCCCAGCAGCACCACTGGACCCCAGGGAATCCCCCCAGCACTCCAAAAGGTAAGGAGGCTGGGGGATTACATAAAAAAAAAAAAATCATGTGTGAGTGTTAGTGTGAGTGTTAGTGTGTGTGAGTGTTAGTGTGTGTGAGTGTTAGAGTGAGTGAGTGTTAGAGTGAGTGTTAGAGTGAGTGAGTGTTAGAGTGAGTGTTAGAGTGAGTGAGTGTTAGAGTGAGTGAGTGTTAGAGTGAGTGAGTGTTAGTGTGTGTGTTTGTGTGTCTGCTAGTGAGTGTTAGTGTGAGTGTTAGTGTGTGTCTGCTAGTGAGTGTCAGTGAGTGTGTTACTGTGTGTGTCTTACTGAGTGTGTGTGTGTTAGTGAGTCTGTTTGATGTCTGTTAGTGAGTGTGTGTTTGCCAATGAGAGTGTATGTTTTGTAAGTGAGTGTGTATGTATGTCTGTCGCTGACTGTGTCTCTGTCAGTAAATGTGTGTGTCTGTTAGCTAGTGTGTATGCGTCTGTAAGTGTGTGTGTGTGTGTGTGTGTCTTCAGCACTTACCTTTCTCCAGTGCCGGACTCCCTTCATAATGCTTTCCTATGGACGCTGGCGTGCTCTCACTGTGAAAATCACAATGAGAAGCACGCAAGCGCCTCTAGCGGCTGTCAATGGGACAGCCACTAGAGGAAATAGGGGAAGGCTTAACCCATTCATGTGTTTATGAAAAAATGGGTTAACCCTAGCTGGACCTGGCACCCAGACCACTTCATTAAGCTGAAGTGGTCTGGGTGCCTAGAGTGGTCCTTTAAGTGTGTGCATCTGCATGCACTGGCGTACATACCGCGGTCGCAGGGGTCGCAGCCCTGTAACCCCTGCGACCAGGTGCCCACCGCCATGTGTTGCGGCCTGCGCGCGGGGGGGGGGGCACGGATCAATTTTTCACACCGGGGCCCCATGGGTCATGTGTACACCACTGGTCCGGTACATGTTGTCACGAACACACCCTACTTCAAGTGTGCGTGATGTAGTTGTGGTGGTGAAAGGGTTAAAGTTCACTATTTGTCTGCACTAGACCGGAAATCATGATAAACACCACCCACACTTAACCATAACAATATAAATATTACAATTTTTTTAACGCTGCCACCACCAAGACCATTTATAAATAGGGTGCCTTGGTCCCCCAGGTAACTTAATAATAAAAACCCACCAAATACAATTTAGCACAATATTTAAGCAATTGCAAAACACTAATTAGTCTCTTCAGGTGACATGATCCTTAACCAGATAAATGCAGAACTTAAAGGAATATTTATTATGAGCAAAAAAATAGTCACAGTGCATACAAAAAAATAAATGACAATCACATTATTTACACCAACAACAAATAAAAAACAAAAGGAATAAAATAACAGAAGTCGGGGGCGTGGCTTGGACGCCGGACGAGATGGCGGCGTTAACCAAGAGCTCCCTGCAGGCTCAGCACTACTACCCACCTAACCTGCTCCAAATATCACAATCATGGGCAAAACACACAAACCACAACAGGCTGCTTCGGCCAACAACCCCCCCGAGGGGGTCTCAACCAACGGGCATGCGCTAGTACCTCACGGCCCAGGCCGACCTAACTTCCCAGGCCTCAAGCGACTCAGAGGCCTCGGGCCTAGCCCACTCGGCCTCACCTCAAGACGAACGCCATGAAAAGACAACGCAAAAGCCTAATCCACCGCCACCCCAGCCGGACTGGGTGACACTAATCAGCAACCTACCTACGAACGCTGATTTAAAAGAGGCAAATGCAGCCCTCCACAAATCCATTGCAGGGGAACTCCATGCCCTAAGGGAGGATATAGAAACATAGAATGTGACGGCAGATAATAACCATTTGGCCCATCTAGTCTGCCCAATTTTCTAAATACTTTCATTAGGCCCTGGCCTTATCTTATAGTTAGGATAGCCTTATGCCTATCCCACGAATGCTTAAACTCCTTTACTGTGTTAACCTCTACCACTTCAGCTGGAAGGCTATTCCATGAATCCACTACCCTCTCAGTAAAGTAATACTTCCTGATATTATTTCTAAACCTTTGTCCCTCTAATTTAAGACTATGTCCTCTTTTTGTGGTAGTTTTTCTTCTTTTAAATATAGTCTCCTCCTTTACTGTGTTGATTCCCTTTATGTATTTAAATGTTTCTATCATATCCCCCCTGTCTCGTCTTTCCTCCAAGCTATACATGTTAAGATCCTTTAACCTTTCCTGGTAGGTTTTATCCCGCAATCCATGAACCAGTTTAGTAGCCCTTCTCTGAACCCTCTCTAAGGTATCAATATCCTTCTGAAGATACGGTCTCCAGTACTGCGTACAATACTCCAAGTGAGGTCTCACCAGTGTTCTGTACAATGGCATGAGCACTTCCCTCTTTCTACTGCTAATACCTCTCCATATACAACCAAGCATTCTGCTAGCATTTCCTGCTGCTCTATTACATTGTCTGCCTACCTTTAAATCATCAGAAATAATCACCCCTAAATCCCTTTCCTCAGATGTTGAGGTTAGGACTCTATGAAATATTCTGTACTCTGCCCTTGGGTTTTTATGTCCAAGATGCATTATCTTGCACATATCCAACTTAAATGTCAGCTGCCACAACTCTGACCATTTTTCTAATTTACCTAAATCATTTGCCATTTGGCTTATCCCTCTTGGAACATCAACCCTGTTACATATCTTATTATCATCAGCAAAAATACATACCTTACCATCAAGACCTTCTGCAATATCACTAATAAAAATATTAAAGAGAATGGGTCCAAGTACAGATCCCTGAGGTACCCCACTGGTGACAAGTCCAAGCTTCGAATATATTCCATTAACTACAACCCTCTGTTGCCTGTCACTCAGCCACTGCCTTACCCATTCAACAATATTGGAATCCAAACTTAAAGATTGCAGTTTATTGATAAGCCTTCTATGTGCAACAGTGTCAAAAGCCTTACTGAAATCTAGGTAAGCAATGTCTACTGCACCACCCTGATCTATAATTTTAGTTACCCAATCAAAAAGATCAATAAGATTAGTTTGGCATGATCTCCCTGAAGTAAACCCATGTAGTCTCTGATCTTGAAATCCATGTGTTTTTAGATGTTCAACAATCCTATCCTTGTTTCCATCACTTTCCCCACTACTGAAGTTAAGGATGGGGTAGGGTTAGTGGTTGGGGTATGGGTACGGCTCCCTCTATGCCTTTTTTGGGGGGGCGCGTGCGCAGTGTTATTTTCTTCCTAATGGACAAAAACAAATGATTTTCTACCGAATTTTGTCTGAAAAACTAATGTTTTATGGACGAAATTCGGACTGGACGATTGAAATTTTTATTTAGTATGAATTCATTCGTACGAAATGAACATTTCACTGGTGCACATGTCTAATTCTTGGTTTTTGTCAGGGTTACTTGTGTATTACATGATACAAATAAACACATATGCATATTATGATGTCATTATTAACTATCAGATGTTAAGGAATACATAGACGCACTTTCTTTTTACTATTCACTGGCACTTTTTTAAAGAAGAATATTAACATACAATTTATCCATTTGCTGACACCAGACACCCGTGAAATTTTGAGCATTTGGCTTTCATAATTTAAGAGTATGCTGTCTACATGAACTGAATTGCATTGCCAAACATTCCTGGGAGAAACATTCCTAACTCCACCTGCATTGGTTTTCTGAAGATTGTGGAGACGGGTGCTCTGTTCTGCTCTCCTTGCCATCTTCTATTCTAGTACTACATTAGTGCACATTCTCCAGAGCAGCTATGTTATATTCCAGAATTTTGCTATTGTCCGATGAAACAAATTACATGAAGGGACAATTGAAACCTGAAACAGGTAGACTACATTCATAATAACATAATGTCTTTACAATGACATTACCAACAGAGACATTTATACTGACTTTGCTCAAGTAACATTACTGATGCTCTAGAACTAGATTGGAAGAAATGTAGAATTAAGGGTGATCAAGGCTGGGTTATATTTAGCATTTGAGTTAGGGGACATAAACCCAGCCTTCTAATTTGAAGCAGATTGTGTCTACCCTACTGCCCATCTTCCTAATATCTGATTTCTCATTCATAGCTGGCGGAGATATATGGGAATGTGTACACTGTATGGCTGGGGCATATACCAGTCATAGTTCTGAATGGATTCAAAGCTGTCAAAGAGGTTCTGAACTCCCATTCTGAAGCATACACTGGGCGTCCTCTGTTGCCATTTTTCATGGATTTAATGGGAGAAAAAGGTATACATGAAGCTTGTATGCATTGCATTTAAACTTTATTTTGTTTAATTTAAATATACCAATAACATATCAGAGTGGATATTGGTTTTCTTCTGAAGAAAGCTTCCTAATTATATTTCATCCTATGTTTCAGCATCGTATAATTTCTGTTGGCATTTTCCCTTTTTGAGTGGTTTGACATCCTACTTGGGTCTGCTGGGTGCTACTCCTTGCCTTCACTGCTTCCAACACAGATCCGTAAGTTCTCTGTCTGAGGAACAGAGCATATCTCATTTATTGATAGTGATCAGCTGATGTAGGACTTAGCTCAGGAGAACTAACGTAAGCTCCTAAGTATCAGCTCCCGGTTTTCTTTCTGAAGCATTGGAGCAGAGTCTAGCACACATGTTGGGTAAGAAGTCAAACCATTCAAAAGCGGTTTTCAAAAGTTTTACTTACTTGGCTGATGAAGAGCTATCTTAAGAATATTACGGACATTTTCAGTTTCAAATATAAAAATTATCTGAAAATAGACCTAATCATAGGGAATAATTATGCGTCTGAAATAATCCCTCCAGGAGTTGTTCTAACGTCTGGACATACCTGGAAGCAGCAGAGACGTTTCGGGCAGATGGCCCTCAAGAAATTGGGCCTGGGGAAAAGGAACATGGAGGTGCGCATACAAGAGGAGGTTCAGAGTCTGCTGGAAATGTTTGCTGCTATGGAAGGTATTGACTGGGTTAGTGATGACAATGTGGTTAATAAAGAAATGTGAATATTTATATGAACCATGTGTCTGGACGCTTGTTAAATTTCTTCAAACAACTTTTTGATGATTGTGATTTAATCAGTTGATTCTTTTATTCCCCCAAAAATTCTGAGCCATCATATTAATATACATATTAGTTCTAATTTTGCGATTTAGAAACTTAAAGGGACACTATAGACACCAAAACAACTTTATCTAAAAGGGATTCTCCAGTGCCAGGAAAACAAAACATATTCATTTTCCTAGCACTGCAGGCTCCCGCACTGCAGGCTTCCTGCCCCCATTCCAAGTTGCTGAAGGGGTTAAAACCCCTTCAGTGACTTACCGGAGTCCAGCGCCGAAGTCCCTCGGCGCTGGGTCAGGCTCCGCCTACTCTCCCCCGCCACGCATTAGACTCCCCGTAGGAAAGCATTATACAATGCTTTCCTATGGGGATTTCGGCAACGCTGGAGGTCGTCACATAGCGTGAGGATGTCCAGCATCGCTGAAAACACTTTTTGTGTTCTATGAACACAGATGTCCCTCTAGTAGCTGTCTAGTAGACAGCCACTAGAGAAGCAATGTAAATATTGCAGTTTATGAAAACTACAATATTACACTTGCAGGGTTAAGGGTAGTGAGAGTTGGCACCCAGACCACTCCAATGGGTAGAAGTGGTCTGGGTGCCTGGATTATCCCTTTAATTAAGCAGTTTGGTGTATAGACTCTGCCCTACAGTCTCACTGCTCAATTATTTGCTATTTAGGAGTTAAATCACTGTCTTTATGCAGCACTAGTCACACCTCCCTGCATGTAATGTCCACAGCCTTCCCAAACACTTCCTGTTAAGATAGATCTAATGTTTACACTTCATTATTTTGCATATTCTGTATAATTTTAAGTTTCTTATCTCCTGCTATGTTAATAGCCTTCTAGACCCTACCAGAGCCTCATGTGTGTGATTACAGTTAAGTTTATTTCTAAAGAAAGTTAACATCTAATTGAAAAGTAAACCTTTTTTTTGCATGCAGACTGTGGGATTTAAAGCTAGGGGAGGTGCGGCTTGGGCTGTATATATAGAAGCAACAGTGATTTAACTCCTAAATGGCAAGAAAATTGAGCAGTGAAACTGCAGGGGCATGAACATTACAAAAAATAAATCTGTGCACCAAAACTGCTTCACTAAGCTAAAATTGCTTTGATGCCTATAGTACCCCTTTAAAGGCCCACTCCATCCACCATACCCACTACAACGCATGTAATGAGTGCCCTGGCATCCCCCCAAACTGTTTACTAATGTTTTGACAACTTACCAGGGGTCTACCAAAAGTCTGTTATTCTCTCCACTGAGAGCAGGATTCCTGGCACCATAACCACTGCAGCACACTGTTTTCTGCTCACTGAATAGTAAATTAACATTAGAACTAAACCAGAAATTTCCAGCCTATTTTATGATTTCAAATGATGAAAATATTTTTCAATAAAAGGAGTGAATCCTACAGAGCAGTGGCAGGAGAATAAAAAAAAAAATTAAATTGTTGGCACATTGTTTTATCGCATTCACGCGATTTAGTAGATCGTGCTCACGAGATGGTTATCTTGTGCGCACGCTTTAACTATTTCATTGGCACAATCTACTAAATTGTGCACTCAGGGCTGGCAGGCAGCGGGGCTGGAGCTTCACTAACCTCCTACCTCACTTCCTGTTGCCTTGGCCTGCTCAGATCGCTGGACCTGCTGCCCACTATATAATTATCTTGTGGTGTACAAGTCATCTATACCATGGCCACTAACTACTTAAAGAGGGTGCACATGTAAACTATCTTGTGGAAAAGATCGACAGTGTGCACACAATATAAAAAAAAAATACTTCCTGGGTCACCCCTGGGGCTGGGTAGAATCCTCTAATCACTCCTTTATAAATTTTTGGCCAATAATTTAATTGTCACTTGAGTATATCGTTAGAGGCCCCACTTCAAAACAGTCCTATTTTACATAATCCACTAGAAACTGAAAAAAAATGATCTTCCTAGGATCACAAAGCTATAAACAAGAGCAATGATGATATGATATGAACGCATACTGACAACATATGGTTGTTATTGAATCCAAATATCCAAAGCTCTAGCAGAACACGTCTCCAACTCGAATCTGCCATGACTGTACAGATCAATGTGCACAACACAGTTTCAATTTAATTTCACAAGTTATCTTTAAAATATTGCATTATAAAATAATTCCAGATTTCACAGTTTACTCTTTTACTGTAGTGTTTAATATTGTTATATTTATTTCTGGTATTTATAAAGCGCCAACACATTCTGCAAAACTGTACAATTTGCAAAAAAGACACTACAATATTCACAGACCAATACAAACGGTAAAGGGGGCCATTAGGGAACAGCAAAGAGAGGATTTGTGTTTGCAAGTTAGTGTAGTTAAATTAACATCAATACGAAAAGATATTATGACTGTTTTTTTTTTATTTATATATTTTTAGGATCTCCCACTGATCCTTCAGTTTCGATTACCCACTCTGTATCCAATGTTATATCTGCAGTGGTGTTTGGGAAGAGATTTCTCCTGGAAGACAAAGATTTTCAGAAACTCCACAAAGCTACAGAACTTGTCATAGCAGCTCCAGGAACCTTATGGGCCAGGGTGAGAATGCAATCGTATAATGCTTCAGGGACAGCAATGGTCTAGGCAACCTACAGCACTCCAGATGTTGTGGGCTACATCCCCATAATCCTTTTACACGCATAATGCTGGCAAAGCATTATGGGAGGTGTAGTCCAAAACATCTGGAGTGCCGAAGGATACCTATGCTTGGTCTAGGCCATAATGGACATTTGGGAGGGTGTACTTTCTTTTTTCCGATGACTGTAGCTACAACCGCAAACAGTGTATTTGTGTCTGCAAGCTAGTGTACTTCATTTGACATCAGTATTAAAAGATGATACTATTGATAGCCACAGATCCTTCAAACCACACAATCATACACCAAATTACTTCAATACATCTACCAGTACATGAGTCACAACATTAAAACCACTGACAGGACAAGTGAGTAACATTGATTATATTGTTCAAATGGCACCTGTCAATGGTGGGATATTTTAGGTAGCAAGTGAAAACTCAGTTCTTGAATTTGATGTACTGGAAGCAGGAAAAATGGGCAATCGAAAAGATATGAGTGACTTACTTAGACAAGGACCAAGTACTGATGGGGTGTTCCTGGTATACAAGTCTCACTGATGTATCTGGGAAGCAAAGGCTAGCCCATCTAATCCAATCAGACGGAAGAGCTACTGTAGCTCAAATTGCTGATTAACTTAATGTCGGCCATGATAGAGAGGTGTCATAAACACAGTGCATCGCAGTTTGCTGCATATGGGGCTGCGTAGTGGCAGACTAGTCAGAGTGCCCATGATGAACCCTGTCCACCACCTTCAATGGATGGGTGGGTGTGTGTGTGTGTGTTGTTTACCTGACAACAGGATGCACTATGGGAAGAAGGCAAGGCGAACATAGTGCCCTGGGCAATGTTCTGCAGGGAAAGCTTGGGTTCTGTTATTAATGTGGATGTTACATTTACACATATCACCACATACACCCCTTCATGGCAATGGTGTTCCCTGATGGCAGTGGCCTCTTTCGAGGATAATGCAAAAATTGTTCAGAAATGGTTTAAAGAACATGACAAAGAGTTCAATATGTTACTTTGGCCTCCAATTTGCCCGGATCTGGAATGTGCTTGAATAATAAACCTGAACCATGGAGGCCCGATCCTGCAACTTGCAGGGCTTAAAGGATCTGCTGCTAATATCTTGGTGCCCGATACCACAGGACACATTCAGAGATTTTGTGAAGTCCATGCCTCAGTGCATCAGAGCTGTTTTGACAGCACAAGGAGAGCCTACATGATATTAGGCAGGTGGTTTTAATGTTGTGGCTGATCAAAACAGTAACTGATTCTCATCTTATCGATCCTAATCTTTTTTTTTTTTTATTAGATTTTTTTATCATTTTTACCTTTGTTGCTCACTTAGAAGATAGATACTGATGTTTTCTCATTCACATTGTTATCCCCATCACACAATGTATGCCAAATAATCAGTCACCATACTGCACAAATATAGTGTCTAAATAAATTCTCTCTCATACAGACATATTTACCAACATTCTTGTCCATACAGTTATTTCTACTTTGCTACTTTTTACATTTGAACTTTTGCACATTTCATAAAAGCAAAGGCACAATTTATTAATTTGGTTGAAGATTTTAGAGCATGTTATTCTGCTTCTAGATCTATGACCTGGTCCCCACACTTATGCGTCACCTCCCAGGACCGCACCAGAAAGCGATCAAATACTTCCAGATTTTGTGTTCCTTCATCCATAATGAGGTCAAAGAACATCAGGAGCTAGGAGCAAAAGAGGACATGGATTTCATAGATCATTATCTGATTCAGATCTCCAAGGTACAATCAGCCTATTAAACATGATAACTAAAATAACCATGGTCCATATATTCATGCTAACAGTTCTCTATGTTTTAAGTTATCAAGTCAAAACATATTTTTTATAAGTTTGCATTAATGTTTCTTAGAGTGCGTATCTGTATTAGTTCCATGATCATTGTTAACAGGCTCATCTTTGTAAGCCCCCAAATGTTAAAGTTTAGAACTGCCCTGGTGTGACATTTGTCTGTGCATTGAAAGATTTCTGTTGGGAAATATTATAATATAAACACTAAAACATCCATAATGTGTCTTGTATTTGGTGGAGGTGATGGCGGAAGGAAACTCACAGAATATAAGAATACACATACCCTATGCTAATCTCAAGCCTTTATCTCTCAACCCAATCACACAGGCCAGCCAACTAAGGGCTGATTATGAGACAGCGCTGTTTAAGTGCTCTGAGCTGGGTGTAAATGCATCTAATGCACTCACTCTACACTTTGTAGGGACAGTTCCCTGCTGTCCCTACACTCACACGTCCTTTTCTCTCCTCTTCTTCCTAGGCAGAGGATCCTGATAAGCATCCTGGAACAGAGAAAAAAGGTGGATGTAGTGAGTGTGAAAGAAAGGGGGCATGCCACTAGTAGAGAGACAGAAGAAGCAACAGCATTTGCACAGTGTGTAAAGTTACCTTTACCTTAAAGGAACACGATAGTGTGATTAATACAAACACTATAGTGCTGGAATAAATGTTTAGGTGTCCAGCCTCGCTCAGTTTACTCACCTTTTCTCCCATGCCACACCAGTCTCACCACGGCTGGCCCCACCTCAATGGCTTAGATCATCAATCTTAATGATCTCAGACAGTTCAATGGTTTCCCCATGGAGAAGCATTGGAAGGATATTGCGCATGCATGGCAAAACACCACCCTATGCCAATCAGCATCTCCTTATAGAGATGCATTGAATCTCAATGGAATCTCAATGCATCTCAATGGGGAGTGTTCAGCGTCCATATACAGAGCGTGGAGACGCTGGACTAGGAAGCATTTCTAGAGCCTGTCTGAGTGACTTCCACTAGAGGTGTTACATCAAGGCAGTGTAAACACTGCCTTGATGCTTTACCATGTGCACACTATGTGCTGGGAGCTAATGGAGTAGCTGATCTGTTTCACAACTGCAGCAATATTTAATAGAAAGCTAAAGTTATCATAGCAGGAGCACTACTGAAGATGGGATCATATAAGCGAGAGCTAGGAAGATAGAGAAAGAGCTGGAGCATTAAAAAGAGACGTGTACTGTGTGAGTATCTCTGTATTGCAGAGTAATCCATCACAGTGATCCTGGCTGTGTGGGATAGTTATGAATATCTCCTTATTGTACCCAGCTGTGTGTGTTATTTCTCTGTATTTTACTCAGGTCTACCTTTTGTACGGGTATCTCTGTGGTCTACCTAGCTCTTTGCATATTATAGGTATCTTTGTACTGTTCCCTGCTCTGTGTATTATATTTTTCTTAACTTTGTTTGTGGTATGGCTAGCTCTGTATTATACTCAGCTCTATGTATATTATAGATATACTTATGTTATGCTCGTTTTATTGTATGAGCATCTCTGCATTGTGCTCAGCGTTCCGTATTGTATGAGTATCTCTGTACTGTATAGGGAGGAGGAAAATTCTGAGGGAGGAGTCTGGTGCGCCACCATCTTAAAACTTCCCCAGCTTCCACTGTCAGTCAGTCCACACAAGTTTTGATCCTCTCCATTCATCCTAAAGTCACATACATAATTCTACCTGCATAACGCAAGATAGGTGGAGTAGTAAAAAATAAAATAAAAATTATATATATATATATATATATATATATATATATATATATATATATATACACATACACACACACACATATATACATACACACACACACACACACACTTTTTTTAAATCAATGGGTCTATTCCATGGACCTGTAACTTCAGCACCATTAGCCCTTATGTTAACCCTGTCCTGATTTGCTCTAATGTTGTTTGTGGATATTTGTAGTAATAAAGTGTATGATTCATAGCACCATAATGTTATGGATGGTGCTATGAATCATGCTGCTTGAGGGGCTAACTCTCCCTTTCTAGTTTATGTGAAAAATAGCTCTTTAAAATCATCAACTCAATTGTCTGGGCCTTATTATGGAGCCTGTCTGACTCAATGAGTTTGGAGTCACAAAAAATATCTTCACCACCATGTCAATGTTCTAAAACAACTGTTCAGTCAAATACACAGGTGATGGGACAAAAAAAAGACAAAATGTCTCAGTCTTTAACAGAATGTAATGGGCTACTCTACTGTTTTGGTTCCACAAAAGCCATCAAATTGTTTATGAATAATTTGAAACTTACCTGACTCTGTCGGTTGTCCTTCTGGTCTGCATTGATATGATTAGGTGGAAGTTCATACTTCTGTACTTTATACCAGCTTTGAACATTATTCACTAGCTAAAAAATGCATCAAATTCATCAAACAGCACCTTACATACAATAATTATCAATTATTTCCTTCCTACAGTGACATACACCGATCAGCCACAACTTTAAAACCAACTGCCTAATGTCATGTAGGTCTCCTCTTGTGTTGCCAAAACAGCTCTGATGCAGCAGATCCTTTAAGTCCTTCAAGTTGCAAAATGGAACCTCCATTGATAGGATTTGTTGTTCCAGCACATCCCACAGATTCTCAATCAGAATGAGATCTGGGCAATTTGGAGGCCAAGGCAACACCTTGAGCTTTTTGCTATGTTTCTCAAACTACTCCTCAACAATTTTTGCAGTGTAGCAGGGTGCATTATCTTGCTGAAAGAGACCTTGGCCATCAGGAAACACCATTTCAATGGAGGTGTATAAGTGGTCTGCAACAATCTCTAGGTAGGTGGTATGTGTCAATGTAACATCCACATGAACATCCTTACATCGCTTCCTGGCAGAACATTGCCCAGAGCATACTACTACCTCTGCTGGCCTATTTTTTCCCCAAACAAATAGTGCTCTCCATGTGGATAGAAAGTGTAGGGAATAATAAAAGAAACATACTCTCACTTTCTTGAGCAGTATGACCTGCTCAAACTTTTCAGCGTTTCTGGTATGATCCCCACCAAGGATTAGGAGGTCACCACAAACTGTAGAATTCTTATAAAGGTACAGAAACAAAGGAAACTAATAAAAACAAAATAAAAATTCATAAAAATGCTCAAAAGTATATGGCCAACTACAGAGTAAATGTGGGGAAAAAAATAACTTTTTAAATTTTTTTTATTATAAATCAAGAAAATAATTTCCAACAATAACGCATTTCCCTTTGGAACAGACTTTCTCAATGTATACTGTGTATGCCTAAACATTTATGACACTTTTTGGTCAAGGTTTAAGAAATGTTAACAATATTACAGAAAATTTTATCATACTTACCGTAATTTTCTTTTCCTGGCTATTATTCATGGCAGCATCACTTATGGGTAGCTCCGCCCTGATCAGGAACAGGACAGGATAAAATCAATTAATATGGACCAGACTGGGTATAAAAGGTCCCTCCTCCTTCTATCCCACAGTCTAGTTCCAAAGCTAAATCTGATAACCAGGGGGGGTTGCTGATGCTGCCATGAATAATAGCCAGGAAAAGAAAATTACGGTAAGTATGATAAAATTTTCTGTATTCCTGGCTAATCATGGCAGCATCACTTATGGGTAATACCCAAGCTTCACCATAGGGTGGGAAATTCAAAAACAAAACAAAAAACTCCGAACCATATAATTCTGAAAAAAAGGTTTAATTTAGATAGATTCCACAGAGGACAGAACACCTCTACCAAAAGCCGTAGAGGAAGATGCCAAATCCATCTTGTAATGTTTGATGAAAGTGAGAGGAGAAGACCATGTAGCTGCCTTACAGATGTCGTCAGATGGAACTTCTGCCCAATTAGCCCATGAAGTTGCTAAAGCCCTTGTAGAGTGTGACTTGATCCTACTAGGAGGAACAAGGTCTTTCAACTGATAAGCCTTGATTATAGTATTGGAGATCCAACATCTCAAGGTGGAAGTAGATGCTGCCTCCCCTCTTCTGGGACCAATCGGAAGAACAAACAGCTGTTGAGACTTCCGAAATTGAGTAGAAACCTCTAAATACTCGAGTAGGCACTGCCTGACATCCAATTGATGAAGTTTCACTTCCTCTGGAGTAGAAGGAGATGGATAAAAGGAAGGAATAACAATTTCTTGTAAGATGTGGAAATTTGAGACAACTTTCGGCAGAAACTCTTGTCTGGGTCTCAAGATCACCCTGTCGTGGAATACCTGAAAGTGATTTTCATCGCAGGAAAGAGCATGAATTTCTGACATACGCTTTGCAGTAGTAACAGCCACCAGAAACAAGGTCTTATATGTTAATAAGACAATACCCAGCTCATCTAATGGAGCAAAGGGGTTTTCAGACAACACCTCTAGTACCATAGGTAAATTCCACGGAGGAGAGTAGTTCCTATTTGGAGGTCTTATACGGATGGTTGCTTTAAAGAATCTAGCAATTAGAGGATCCGAAGCCCAAGACTTGTTGCAGAGAGCAGATAAAGCCGATGATTGGACTTTTAGAGTACTAAGACTCAGCCCTTTCTCTAGACCTGTATGAAGAAATTGTAGAATGTTAATGTTAGATGGCTGAAGAAAATCCACATTATTATCTTGAGACCAGGAACGAAAAACTTCCCAAATCTTATGATAGCAGGAAGAAGTAGATACTTTTCTGGATTTTAGGAGAGTAGTTACCACAGTTTCTGGGATCCCTTGAGCTAGCAATCTCTCCTTTTCAAGAGCCATGCCCCCAATTTCAGCTGGCTGGGGTTGGGATGAACAGCTGGTCCCTGGATTAAGATGTTTGGTCTGACAGGAAGAGGCCAAGGAGGTTCCAGGCTCATCTTGTTCAGCAGGGGAAACCAAGGTCTGCGAGGCCAGATTGGGATGATGGCGATGACTTTGAGACCTTCCTTCCATATTTTTCTCAGCAGTCGGTAAATCATTGGTAGGGGAGGGAATGCGTACCCCAGATCGAATTCCCATGGAAGAGACAGGGCATCCTGTCCTTCTGCTCGATGATCCGCATGTAGGGAGTAAAACCTCTTCACCTGAGTGTTGTTGTATGAAGCCATCAGGTCGATCTGGGGTACTCCCCACCGAAGGGTGATCAATTGAAATAAGTCTGGGTGCAGTTTCCATTCTCCTTGGAGAATCCTTGTCCTGCTGAGATAGTCCGCCAATAAATTCTCTGGTCCCGGAAGATAAACCGCTTTTAATCCTTGTAAATGTAGTTGCGCAAACCTCATTATTGGTGACAATTCTATCAGTAGAGAATAACTTCGAGTGCCTCCCTGATGATTTATGTAGGAAGCCACAGCTCTGTTGTCTGTATGTATCCTGACCCAGGCATCCCTCAATAGAGGACGGAACCCTATTAATGCCTTGAGAACCGCTCTCATTTCTCTCAAATTCGAATGAAGTTTTGACTCCTTCCATGACCAAGTTCCTTGAATCCAAGAGTTGTTCAGATGTGCTCCCCATCCCAGAAGGCTGGCATCTGTAGTTATAGTAATCCAATCCGGCTCTTCCAGGGGAAAACCACAAAGGAGGTGTTTTTCTTTTGTCCACCAATACAGTTCTTTCGAAATTCTCGGGAGTAAACGAATCTTCTGATCCCAATTTCCTTGTTTTGCTCTGAACTGTAAGAGAAAATGCCTCTGAATGGGTCGCATCCTCCACTGGGCCCATTTCACTAGGCCTATCGTGGAAGTAAGAGACCCTAACAGGCTCATGAAATCTCTTGCCGTGATGTAAGATTTTTGACGCAGACTTCTGATCTTCTTCATTATTCGTTGTTTTCTGTCTGTAGACAGTGATACCAGGCCATTCCCCGAGTCTATATTTGCTCCTAGGAAAATCATCCTCTGAGAAGGCACTAAAGAACTCTTTTTGGGGTTTATCAGCCAACCATGATCTTGAAGGTATTTTATGGTTATAGACGTGTGGACATTCACTATCTGACTGGAAGGACCTAAGATCAGAAAATCGTCCAGATAATGAAAAAGCTCGATGTTCCTTGTCCTTATAAAGGCCACCAGAGAAACTAGAATCTTCATGAATGTTCTGGGCGCCAGACTTAAGCCGAAAGGAAGTCCCTTGAACTGATAGTGATTCCCCGAAATCCAAAACCTTAGAAACCGGCGATGACTGACATGAATAGGAATCTGATAGTAGGCGTCCTTGAGATCGATAGAAGTCATCCAGGTCCCTGTCTTTATATTGGGCAGAATTGTGGTAATGGACTCCATTTTGAATGTTCTTGGAACCAAATATGTATTCAGAACTTTCAGGTCCAGAATTAGACGCCATTTCCCCTGAGGTTTTGGGGCCAAAAATATCGTAGAGTAGTGGCCTCTGTAATGTTCTCTGTAAGGGACTTTCTCTATGACCTGATTTCAAAGAAGTTGAGAAATAATTTCGTTCAGAGCCATTTCTTTTCTTCCTCTTGCCACTCTTGAACGGGTAAAGGAGGTTTGAGAAGGGAATTCTTTGAATTCTATTTTGTATCCTTCCCTGAGGATAGAAAGAACCCAAGAATCTTGAATGCTTTTGGCCCAAACCGGATAAAAGAAGCGAAGTCTGCCTCCTATAACATCTGGCTGGGCCAGCAAACGTTCAAAGAAGTTTTTATTAGCTGGTCTAGATCCTCTTCCTCTAACCGGTTTTGATGAAGAGGACTGGTAGCTTCTCCAATTAGAATTCCTGGAGTATTCTCTTCCGGGTCTATATGACCTGGCGTCTCGAAAGGATCGGTCTCTAAACTTTTTATCCTTCCAGTAGGAAGCACTAAATCTTCTCTTCCCCTGGGGGAGAAAGGCTTTTCTTCCATCTGCAGCTTTATGGATCGCATCTTCCAGGACTTTACCAAATAGAAGGTCCCCTTGAAAAGGAAGCGCACATAGAGAGGCCTTAGAGGCGTAATCTGCACCCCAAGAGTGAAGCCATAATGCTCTTCTCGAAGCAACTGACAGTGCCATACTTTTAGCTACCATTTTAGTAATATCCAGGGAAGCTTCAGAACAGAATTCTGTGGCCAGCTTCAAATCTTTAATGCCCTCCATCAGGTGTTCTCTACGGACTCCACTAGCAATATCCTCTTCTAGATTATCAACCCATATTTTAAGAGCTCTGGACAAGGTGGTAAGAGCAATGGCTGGATGTAATGCTGACCCTAGGGCCAAGTATGCCTTAATCAGGTCAGCGTCCAATCGCTTTTCCATTGGCTCCCTTAAATATGCCATTGAATCTATGGGAAGAGTTGTTCTTTTTGCCATGTGAATGACTGCTGCATCAATTTTCGGAACCGAAATCCATGATTTGCAGTCCTCAGGTGCATACGGGTATAATCTGGGGACTTTGCTCTTTAAAGTCACCTTCCTCTCAGGTCTATTCCATTCTGCACCTATTACTTCCTTGATGGCCGAATGAACTGGAAATGTAGGTCTGTTAGGCTTCAGATCTTCAAAATATCTGTCAGACTCCTTCTTCTCCCTGCTTTCTTCAGGAATTCTTAACGTTTCTCTGATAAGATAAACCAACTTATCCACAGACCTGGAATCCAAAGATTTTGAGTCATACTCATCCTCTTCTTCCTCTGAATAGTCTTCCATCATATCAGATTCTTCTTCTGATTCCACATAGCTTTCCACTCTGGGACGCTTGGGGATAGCCATTTTACTAGAGGATTTAAATCCTTCAGCAATAGCTTCTGAAATCCATTTCTTTAAGTCAGCCTGTGGGGAACTTTTCTCATCCCAGTCCTTCGCTGCTTCCGTAAGGCAAGATCTGCACAAATTATTTCCCGGAGGAGCCACTTGGTTGCAGTTTGCACATCTGTTGGATTTTTCTCTATATTTTCTGGGAGAATCCTCTTGAGATTTTTCTGGGCTGAAATTAAAGGCCGATATACTTTATATTATAGGCCTGCAATGGCACTCTTTTTCCCCCCTTAAATCAATTTTGAACATATGTGGCTCACCTATGTCTTCTAGAGCGAGATCTTGAGGCAGAGGGAGAAGCCATCTAGAATAAAATATGCTTATTGTAAAAGAAACATTTTAAGCAGCAAGAAAAAATTAATAATATACAAAAAATGTAAGATTTTTACCTTTAAACCAGATTCTGAACAAAAAAGGCAGCTTTCCTTATTAACAGAAGATCATAGAAGAAGCCAGGATCAATTCCGAGTGATTTTTAAATTTTTTATTTTTTGGCGCGATATACCTTTAAGCGCGCAATTATTCCGCGCATGCGCAGAACACCCGCCGGACGCCGTCGGTACTGCGCATGCACCGGAAGCCGAAGAGAGAAGAGACAGACCGGAGGAAAGCCCCTGCACCATGCTGATATCCAGGGAAGCTTCAGTTTACCCAGAAGACTGATGCAGGTAAGCCAGGCACTAATCAGAATCATGTAAACTGTAAGAATAACCTCCAGAATATTAAACAAAATGAAACCAAAAGAAAATTTATCAGAAATAAGCACTTACCCTAGCTTCTCCCAATAACTGACCTCAGATCAGGGGGGTTAGATGCTATAAGGGGGATTTTTAAGGCAACAGCCGACCCCACATCCAAATTGAAACTTTTTCTCCCATAATAGTACAGATGCTAATCTGTACTAAACTCAGTTAGTCCTGCCCATGCAGGCTGTTTACTGAGTTCTTCAGATGAAGAGAGGCTGAACTTCATCTGGAGGCCCATGGTACACATGGGAAGGTGGCCCAAAATAAAATATCCTGTGTGTCCTGAAAGGACAGGAAAAAAAAGACTGTGGGATAGAAGGAGGAGGGACCTTTTATACCCAGTCTGGTCCGTATTAATTGATTTTATCCTGTCCTGTTCCTGATTAGGGCGGAGCTACCCATAAGTGATGCTGCCATGATTAGCCAGGAAATTTACATTTATGTGTGTAATTTCTCTTTTCTTTGACATTCTTTATTTTTGTGTGCCAGATAAAATATATAATGTTACATATGTCCTGTCTGAAATGTCAAAAGTACAATATTGAGCAGGTAAGGCATGTCAGAAATTGTAGAGGGTTTGGTTCTCTTTCTAATAAAGACCATTCTATTTATTTATGACTATTTTTCCCATAATATTCCTCACCCTCATATAGATTCCAACGCTAGCAGTTTTCACTCACTTTGGTTCTGTGCTTTTTTCTTTTGGTTTTGATTTAAGTACATTTCTGCCAAGGGTTATCACCTACCTTTAGGCTCTGGGTCTAATCCTCTTAAGACCTATTAGCCTAACTTGTTTAATTCTTCTACTGGTCACTTAACCTATCTGTGGTTTTAATTTTGTGGCTGATACTTGTAAGTGTAGTGCTGTGCTAAACATAATTTATAAATTGTATCAAATATGTATAACTTTTCCATCTCTATTGCTATGTTCTAGACTCAATGTGACTCCAACTCCACATATAATGAAGAAAACCTGGTCCATCTTGTGGCAGACTTATTTATGACTGGGACAGAAACAGTGGCAACTACACTACGATGGGCACTTCTCTATATGGTGGCATTCCCAGATATTCAGGGTGAGGACAGTGGGTGCAATTCATATCTTCTGGTTTGCAAAGGGCCATTCCACTAAGATATTCCAGACAAATTGTATGCAGTTGATTAGTCATAAGAACAACATCTATGCCACAAATACATTACATGATGCAATAGCTCTTTTTTGTAGAGGTAAGGTATTTTTCTAATTAAAAACAGGAATTATTTCAAAATTCTAAAAGGTCAATCAGGACTCACTATATTACTTTTCTCAGACAGACACACAATGAGACAGTTAGTTTTGGAAATGTATTCTCATTTCAAGGAAAGTGAGGGGTTCGATAAATTGTGCTGTATCTTTCCAAAGTAATACATATGCTTCTGTGCAGGTAAGGTACAGGAAGAATTAGACGCTATTCTTGAAGGGTCACACATGATTAATTATGAGGACCGAAAGCGATTGCCATACACCAATGCTGTGATTCATGAGATTCAGCGCTTTGGAAACATTGTCTCCGTTGGAGTTGTGAGAAAGTGCATGGCAGACATAAGGCTACATGGCTTCAAGGTGTCCAAGGTGAATTACATCCAGACTGATTAAACCTATCATATTGCAAGCAATCAGAAGACAGAACATACAAAATAAATAATCAAGGGTCAACATTTCCACTCACCAATGGCAATTAGTAAGTGAAAATGTAGCCCTGGCATGTAGCAATTCACCTCTAGTGAATATGCCATGGACCTTCCAGGGTTGTAGTTGCAAGTTACTTTTAAAATCTGGCTAGTGGTATATGACTGTAAATTTCCTGCACTGATATAATATCATAATAACAATTATATAGTTACGTAATAATAGAAAGGACAGTGAAATTTGTAGGAACTAAAACACAAATTTCTATATCAACACATATTTTAGGGTAGTAAATATATAGTGTATTTTCCTTTTTTGCAATAGGGTGTGTATAGGCACACCCGATACACTCTTACACAAACCTCTGTCTCTATTTTAAGCAAGAATATGCAAATTTATAGATGGAATTTTAGATGAAGAAAAAGAAGAAGACAACAATATCAGGAAAAACCTAATACGTGGTCATAAATATGGTCAGAGAGGTAATAGTATCAATAGTGACATTGCAACACTGTTATCTGTCATAAATCTCTTAATCACACCTCATATGTAGATATTTTTTTAAAGCAGACAACCCAGGGTAGTCAATATGGGGAATGTCCAGTCTTTTTTAGATGCCACAAACACTGGCCAAAGTTAGCATTTATATTTGCTTGTGTGTTAAAAATGCAAAAAACTATTATGAACACTAACATTGGCCAGTGTTTGTGACTAAGTGGCTACTAAAAAAGACTGAACATATCCCATTTGCAATACCTTGGGTTGTCTTCTTTTGCAAATGGTATGCCATAATGGGGGTAATTTTATTCCCTGGGCTACCATACGCTCTCAATGGCAACATAACCAATAGACATGTTCAATTTGTTTCGGTCCGAATCTAAATTCGGACAAATTTTGGGCAGTTCGGACATTCGGATGCTTCCGAATGTCCAAAGTGCCGAATTGCCAAAGTCCCGAATTTCGGAAGTATCGAACCAAACTTAATTGCCGAAGTCCCGAATTGCGGAAGTTGTCAGGATTACTAGTTGATCCAACATGCAGAATTATATCACACCTAGGACTAAGGATAACGTATAACTGGACCTTGGAATGGCCGGACTTAACGTATCCAAGAATAGTCAGAATCCTTGCCGAGGTCAGGGGTACAGAACGAGACACAACGATGAGGGAAAGCCAAAGTCAAATACCAGAAATAATACGATCAGGAACACTCTCTCGGATAACCACGACAGGGCAGTGATCAAAAGGTAATTTGGGTTTAAATAACCCTCCTAAAGCGGTAATTGGCTGTATGTGACCTCTGACCCCAAAACGTGCGTGCATGTCTATGACGTGACATCGCACACACGTGAGCACTACCTTTGATATGGGCAAAGACTATTTCCTTATTAAAAATGGAACCGGGGGCGGGGCTTAACCTTTTAAAACTCCATACACATTGTCTTACCCAGTGGTATTTGTGGCCTATGGCTTCTGTATTTTTGTCCCAACCCAGCGGCATAAAAGCATGGTGCTGCTTTCTGACCCATACACTTATACAAGTGGCAACCTTGACAAGCAGCCACATGGCTTGCAACCTAACATTAAGGCCCATACCTACCCAACAGGCTTCCCATGTTACTATATGTGTAAATTACCTGAACGATTAACCGTTTATATACAATCCCAAGCTAACATATAATTCAGAAGCTGGTTATACCTGTGAAGCATGCTCTTATTATTTTATTATAATACAATTCTTTTTTTTTTTTTTTTCAAGCTAACCTATAATTCAGAAGCTGGTTATACCTGTGAAGCATGCTCTTATTATAATACCATTCTTTTTGTATTTATTTTTTTAAATACCAAAAATGCCAGTTTATATACCTGTTTCATACCACTCTTACCTGCTTATCTTCTGCAGAGACCTACATTACACTGTTTTTACTTGTTTAAAATTGTGCAGTTCAATCCTATATCATGATACTGAATGCCTTGATTTGCTTGTTACTGCCATCGTAGCACTGCAGGCCTGTTTGTAAACATTTTTGCACAAAAAAAAAAAGAATAATAAAAAAAAAAAAAACGGAACCGCAGCGGGCTGGTGTCTCTGTTAATGCCGCACACACGCCGGGGACCGGGAAGGAAGGAGGTCGGGGTTTGATTTGCTAAGATAAGTATTTGTAATTTCTGTCGATGTGACCGCTGTGTTTCAGTGCAGCCACGTCGACAGAAACCCATAGCACCATGACAGAAGTGCTGAATCTCGGAAGTACCGAAATGCTTTGAATTTCTGAACAGTGTCAAAAAAAGAAATAGAGGGAAAATTATGTGAATGATGACAGGGTTAGGGGTAGAGGTAGGGTTAGGGTAAGCTTAAGATTAGTGTAGGGTTAGGTTAGGGTTAGGGCAGGGTTAGGAGTAGGGTTGGATTACTGTAGGATTGGCTTAGGGTTATGGTAGGGTTTGCTTAGGGTTAGTGTAGGGGTAGGGGTAGTGTTTGGGTTAGGGTAGGGTTAAGGTTGGGTTAGAGTTGGGTTAGGGGTAGGGTTATGGTTGGGTTATGGTTAGTTGAAAACAAGAGTAAGAAGTTCCGTCCAACGGCCAATATTAAAATAAGAAATAAAAAGTAACTTTTAATATGGTCGTTTTAAAATGCAAGTAAAGTCAAACTAGCTTAACAGTGTAACCTAAAGTACAGTGAACACACAGGATGAGGAAGGGGATAATTGTACACAGGGTAAAGGTGGGGAAATATATACACAGGCTATAACGGCTGGTAATATCTCTAAGTGAATGTTAAGGGTTTGGCAAAACAGGAACTCTAATGTCTTTCCACAGCGAAGAAAGCTAACAGCTGATAGAGATATCAATTACAGTGTTGCAAATGCTTCCCTGATATAGTCACTTAGGGACAAAGTATCAAAGTTACCCATGAGGTGTAGGGAACCTGAAAGTGTCTGTATAGTATATAACTGTAGTGAGGTCACTAAAGGTATACACAGTAATTAAGTAAGATACAGTATCCCTACATGTGGGAGAGAACAGCTGAGATTTATATTAGCAGGAAATAATGACAAGAGATGCCAATTGAACCCAAAGATATGATGAGCCTTAGTAGCTAGTGGAGAGATAAATAAACTGGCTAGATGAGCAAGTCTGTGCCTTCAAGGGAACCTAATAGAGAAAAGATAAACGGCTACACTAGTTAAAGGACCACTATAGTGCCAGGAAAACATACTCGTTTTCCTGGCACTATAGTGCCCTGAGGGTGCCCCCACCCTCAGGGACCCCCTTCCGCCCGGCTCCGGATGGGGGAAAGGAGTAAAAACTTACCTTTTTCCAGCGCTGGACGGAGAGCTCTCCTCCTCCGATCCTCCTCCATTCCGCCCCGTCGGCTGAATGCGCACGCGCGGCATGAGCTGCGCGCGCATTCAGCCGGTCGCATAGGAAATCACAGTGAGAGCACGCAAGCGCCTCTAGTGGCTGTCAATGAGACAGCCACTAGAGGCTTTGGGGGAAGGCTTAACCCATTAATAAACATAGCAGTTTCTCTGAAACTGCTATGTTTATAAAAAAAAAAATGGGTTAACCCTAGAAGGACCTGGCACCCAGACCACTTCATTAAGCTGAAGTGGTCTGGGTGCCTAGAGTGGTCCTTTAAGATGCAGACTCTAACGTACAAATATTAGTCCAGTCTATGGTTTAGTGGCATAATATAGAGTATATAGGAAAGCCACCCTTAAGAGTCTGTCTACTGGTAGCTGATCGAGGGTTTCATACCCTGTGTGCCTAATATCGGCATCTAGCTCATAGAATAAATCAGTGCCTTCAAGGGCACCTAACTAAAAAAAAGAGTTAACTGCTACACTAGCTAACAAGAAAAAATAATGGCAAGTAAAAATGTATACATCCATGTAGCGGATGGTATTACGGCTGTCCTAAAAGACTGTGTTAAAAATGCAATTTGTGTGTTTATTTTCCTGTATAGCTAAAAGTGTATGTAGTATTCGTATGATTGTTCGGTAGTTTTCATCCGTATTCCATACGAATGAAAACTACCAAACCAGTAGACCACCCCAGAGAGGAGTGTGCGCCTTATTAGGCTTTCACACTTCTCTAACCGCAGGTTAATTGGTACGATCGGTACTTTGTGCATGTATCTGGGTGGCCGCCGTTCGGCATACAAACACGTGGCGGCAGCCATCTTACGACTCGAAAACATCAGCGGTGTTTGGTCGTCGAGTGTCTGGAACTCAAATCGGACACTCAATTACCCGAACACCGCTGAGACCTCCAGAGCTCCGTAACTTCCAAACGGAAGGGCTAATCAGCCCCTCGTTCGGTGAGTTAAAAGTACCGAATAAGGGTAATCATGCGAATACAGTTTTAATAGTGGATGTCATGTATTTCTGTGTATTTTACCTCCCGAACGGAGACCGACCGCAGGGCCAAAACACATGGAACCCTTTTCGGCTACCATCTCGTGTGCGGTTGGTCAAATTGCCTCTTCCACATAACTCCCGAACCCCTGGTCTGATCTGGGTGAATTTTGGATATGTTGGTCACCCAGATCAGGGCTACCAGGGGGTGCCACTTAGCTCATTGCACCTAACTGTTTTGGGGTACATCCAGAATTCGGGGAAAACTACAGTATGTTTAATGGGATTACGTGTCACACTGAGGGGAGGAGATGTGTGGGAGGTAACTGTTACATTATTGGCTACTGTCTTAATTATGGTGAATCCCTCCCTTGCATGGGAGAATGCTTTAAAAGGAGGTTGTGTGGATTAAAAGTCAGTTCTGCTCCTGATGCTGTGTGTCGTCCAGTCATTGGGATTGATGTTGGGATATTGTTGGATTGTTTTACCTGCTGGAATTATTGCCTTATGGATTTATAATACTTGTTCCTGAGCCTCACTGGGATCCGCTACAGTCCGGTTACAGACCAGGAGGCAAAAATTGCCCAAAATATATCGGGGGTCTGACCGTTCTGTAGATTACGGTAGCAAGTTGCAGACTACCAAGGGTTTAATAGCCCAATTTCTTTCAGGAATCTGACCTTCAGCTGCACTGTCAAGCTGCTCGTAGGAGCCCCTGGGTTAGAGTTAGGGGAGGGTTGGTTTAGGGTTAGGATAGGGATAGGGCTGTTAGGGCAGGGTTGAGTTAGGGTTGGATTAGGGTTAGGATAGGGTTAAAATTAGGTTAGGGTTGGTTTAGGGTGGGGGTATGGTTAGGGTTGGGTTAGGGTAGGGTAGGGTTAGGGTACGGGGTGGGGTTAGAGTTAGGTTAGGGTAGGGTTGGGGTGTGGGGTAGGGTTGGGTCAGGGTATGATTAGAGTTAGGTTAGGGTAGGGTTGGCTTAGGGTTAGGGTAGGGTTATGGGCTAGGATAGGGTTAGGATTAAGGTAGGATTAGGGAAGGGTTAGGGTTAAGATAAGGTCAGAGTAGGGTTAGGGTTAGGGAGCCCTACAGATTTTCAGAATTACTGAAGTCCCGACTTGCTGAAGACCCGAATTGCCTAAGTGCTGAACACAACTGAAGTCCCGAATTTCAGAAGTGCCGAACAAAACCGAAGTCCCGAATTGCCGAGGTGTCGAATTTTTTGTCTTACCCGAATTTCTGGACCAAACCGAATTTTTCAATGTGAAAAAACAGAAAATTAAGCCTTATATTTGACCCTGTAACTTTCAAAAACACTATAAAACCTTTACATGGGGAGTACTGTTATAGTCGCGAAATTTCACTGAACACAAATAGTGTTTCAAAACAGTAAAATGTATCACAACAATGATATCATCAGTGAAAGTGCTGTTTGTATGTGAAAAATTCAAAAAATGTCACTTTCACTGACAATATCATCGATCACCCGACGGCCCAGGAGTGAGGGGGGGTTTGAGCTTCCAGGGTTTAAATGTGCCGCGGACGTCGTTAATGACCGTTTTTTGCCTGACGTACCCTGTACGTCTGTGGTCACTAAGGGGTTAAACAAGATCCGAAAATATGATAGCGTAAAGTGAAAAAAAGGAGAGCAGGAGAAAGTGTTTTGTTGTAATAATCAACAAGTATGAAGGGTATTGAGAAATCCCTACAAGGGTATAAAAATTCCCTATATAAAATCTAAGTGTGCTGCATACACAAAACAATATGTCTAGCCTTAGAAGGGCAAAACCTCCAAGGTGCTCAGGATATCAGTTACACAGCAGGCAGCATACAGAACGTGTAGCCTGTGTAGGACAGTAGGTGAAAAGATAGTCAGAGATAGGTAATAGCCAGTGGTGTTCTCAGATAGTGTAGTGGGAGTAGACGTGCATCTAGTCGAATGGAGGTGTAACCCCACAGCAAAACCAATGACAACCAAACCCAACTCCTAAACCCTCTGTAGCTAGCAGGCAATCCAGAGAAATGGCTAAAGCTATCCAACCTAATCACCTTATGCTATCTGCTGCTTCATGGCAGCTAAAAGATCCTATGTAGCTTGCCCTGCGTGTTTAATATAAAGAGCTGCAGCTAACACAAATGGATAGACAAACTATTCTCCCCTCAATAGAAACGTGAACTAAAAGAATAAGTGCATCGGCACACTAAGTAGATCAACGCGCATTTCGGCAGTAAATCCTGCCTTGTGTCAAGAGCAAAAACCTTTAACTTTAGGATCTTGTTTAAATAAAGTTTATTATTTTTATTATCTTTTGTTGTTTTGCCATTGTTTTTGAATGATTATTCAAGGATTTTTTTAAAGGATGGTTTCTATCTTTGTTAGGCAGATTCCTTTACCTTATTTGTATTATTTTTCAAAATTCTAGATAATTACCTTTAGAGAGAAAGAGACCACAGTCAGGGAGTGTTATTTTTATGAATTCAATTTTTTGTATTGATTCATTTGATACCTAGGTCTCCTTGTTGCATGCAATTCATTTTATATCATTTATCACACAGGGAACCATAATCCTTCCAAATCTTTCCTCTGTTCTGTATGACCCTGAGCAATGGAAGTCACCCAGAGAGTTCAGCCCGCAACACTTTCTGCAAGAAAATGGAACATTTGAAACCAAGGAGGCCTTCTTGCCATTCTCATCAGGTGAGAAGACATACACCTCTAACCAAATACACAAACCAATGTGTGTAATCTGTAAAAGTAACACATTTCCCTGGTCCTAACATACAGCCTATACAGAAATATCGATGGGGATACAGCTAGTCCTGTGAACTCTAACACAAAAAAATAGATGTCCCTACAAGATTTTAATTAGTAAAACAATGACTTGTGATAATTTCGTGTGTGATACAGGATTAAGTCAAATTCCTACATTTAATGGCAAGATTCAATATAGTAAATATAATAGTATTAAACAAAAACAAGTAGAATTTACAGATCCATAATTACTCTAGAAGAAAATAGTTACATAGTTACATAGGCTGAAAAGAGACTTGCGTCCATCAAGTTCAGCCTTCCTCACAAATGTTGTTGCTGTTGATCCAAAAGAAGGCAAAAAATCTAGTCTGAAGCGCTTCCAATTTTGCCACAAACTAGGAAAAAATCCTTCTTGACCCCAAAATAGCAGTCAGATGTCTCCTTGGATCAAGCAGCTATTACCTCACTAATTAGAAATTATATCCCTGTATGTTATGTTTTTGTAAGTATTTATCCAATTTCAGTTTAAACCTCTGTATGGACTCTGACAAAACCACCTCTTCAGGCAGAGAATTCCATATCCTTATTGTTCTTACCTTAAAAAAACCTTTTCTTTGCCTTAGAGGAAATCTCCATTCTTCCAGCCTAAATGTGTGACCTCGTGTCCTATGTATAGCCCTGTTTATGAATAGATTTCCAGATAAAGGTTTATACTGGCCACAAATATATTTGTATAAAGTTATCATATCCCCTCTCAGCCGCCGTTTTTCCAAACTAAACAGATTTCATTTTTTTAACCTTTCTACATAACTAAAATGCTCCATTCCTTTGATCAATTTTGTAGCTCGTCTCTGGACCCTCTCCAGTGTCATGATATCCTTCTTTAGAATAGGCGCCCAAAATTGCACAGCATATTCAAGGTGTGGTCTTACCAGCGATTTATAAAGAGGCAAAATTATATTTTCATCCCGAGAATTTATGCCCCTATTTATACATGACAAAACCTTACTGGCCTTAGCAACTGCAGATTGACATTTTAATATGATGTCTAAATACAATAAAGTGCAAAATATAGATAGTAAAAATATTGATAAAAATTTAATAAAAACACAAAACAAAAAAATTTGTTAATACATACATTTATACAATTATTACTATTAAAAAAAAAAAAATTTGTATATTATTACATCTCAAATATATGGAGTGTAATTATTTGTAGAATTTAAGACAAGCTCAAGCTAAAAAAAAAGTAAATTCAGAAAGTCTGCAAAATGCATGAAATTCCTTATTTCTGCCACTATAAAAACACAACATTGGGGTATGTATAATCTATGTTTAGAGTGTTGTGTTTTGTAAAGTGGTACGGAGATGTAAAGGTGAGGAGAAACCAATGAAAAAAATGACCTCCTTGTTCTACTGGTCTTCGCAGTAAATAACATGTGCAATAAATATGCTATACAGTAACAATCTCGTACTTAACTAGAATTGCGTTGATTATCCGTGTTCTTGGTTAATTAGTGGCTCTTGTCTCCTAGGACAACGGGCATGCTTGGGAGAGCATCTGGCCAAGATAGAACTATTCCTTTTCTTCTCCAACCTACTGAGGACATTTAGCTTTCAGATTCCTGAAGGAGAATGCTATCCTAGACTGGACTATGTCCAAGCAGCAACTCTCCAGCCTTACCCATATCGGGTCCGTGCTGTATTGCGCTAATGGAACAAATTAATTATTATTTGCAATGAAGAAGACTTGATCTTTCAAAAACCTTTACGATCCCATTTATAACTGTCAACCACAGAGAATAGAAAAATACATTTTAAGCTATCCTAACGTCTATTCTAAAACTTTACTAAATATTGTATTGTATATAGTAAAATAATTCATCCAGTTTTGGGTAGCAGAGCATTTCTGAGCATAACTCAAAAATCCGGACTCCTCATTACACTAGAAAACCAATTAAAAGCTATAATAAATAGACCTTATGTATTTCAACCTTTTTTCAGGGCTTACTCATTTTTAATGGACATATCCAAAACTTAAAAACCTAACAGCTGAAAACAAATGCCTCCAATTATGAGAGTGCTGCATTTTAGATTGACACTATTGAAATGCAAAAGCTTAGAAGCTAGTTTTAGCAATAATTTTGTGATTTGAAAGACCATTCTCTTTATACTAATGGTGGCAATTGCTGCCATGTTTCCTGGGAATCTTTGCTGGTATGTATGGACAAATATCTCAAGAAAGTCTTTAAATATGATAACTCTTCCTTTGGTCAAATCACAACCAATAAATAGGTGGATATCATTCTACTGTGCTAAGTATTGATATTTTCATATGTGTGATCACTTTGGGGGTGTATTACCTATTTATTTACCTTGTTAACATTATAGATGTATAAGGGGACACACCTTAAATATACCCTTGCGATTTAAACTTTGTGACAAGAAGTGCCAACTTTTTTTACTCAAATAGGTGGATGTTAGATGACCAGTTGTCACAAATCTAAAAGCAAGATAAGGGTCAGCAACCTAAAAAAGGCACAAAAGGACATGGTAGTAAGTGGGTGGGCTTACATAGCAATAGAAAGTAACAAGATTAAGATCTAACAAAAGACCAGGGCAATACAATATGAAGTTATTATTATTATTATTATGCCATTTATATAGCACAATCAAATTCCACAGCGCTTTACAATGGGTGGACATACAGACATGTAGTTGTAACCAGTCAAGTTGGACACACAGGAACACAGGGGTTGAGGGCCTTGCTCAGTGAGCTTACATGCTAGAGGGAGTGGGGTAAAATGACACAAAAAAGGTAAGGATAGTATTAGACTAGTGACAGTTGCAGAACAGGAGTCAGTCAGGAACTATTAACAGTATAATTGATACGCTTTTATGAAGAAGTGGATTTTTAACGATTTTTTGAAGGAGTGGAGACTGGGTAAGCATTTAACGGAGGAGGGAAGTAAGTTACACAGGAACGGTGCAGCCCTCGAGAAATCTTGAAGGCGAGCATCAGAGGTGGGAGTACAGACAGAAGATAGACGTAAGTCTTCAGCAGATCGTAAGTGCCTAGACGGGACATACTTGTGTGTAAGAGAGGATAGATAGGTGGGAGCAGCATTATGTAGAGATTTGAAAGCAAGAACCAGAATTTTAAATTGAGCTCTATATCTTATAGGAAGCCAATGTAGGGACTGACAGAAGGGTGAGGCGTGGGAGGTGCGGGCGGACAGGAAGATGAACCTCATCCCCACATTCATTATGGACTGTAATGGTGCAAGCTGGGAGCACGTAAGACCACTGAGAGCAGATTACAGTAGTCAAGGCGAGAAAGGACAGTGGAATGGACCAGCACCTTAGTCGCATCTGCCGTTAAGTAGGGGCGGATGCTCGCAATGTTTTTGAGATGGAAATGACAGGATTTGGCAATAGATTGAACATGAGGCTTGAAGGAGAGGTCGGAGTCAAAGAGAACACCTAGGCAGTGAGCCTGCGTGGTGGAGCTGATGGTAGCACCGTTGACTTGGAGGGAGACAGACACAGGAGTAACAACACTTGAAGGAGGAAAGACAAGAATTTCAGTTTTGGTCAAGTTTAGTTTAAGGTGGGCAGCCATCCAGTTAGAAACAGCAGAGAGGCAGTCAGAGACACTAGTCAAGAGGGACGGGGAGAGATCAGGAGAGGACAGGTAGATTTCCGTGTCATCTGCATAGAAATTACATTGGAAGCCATAGAAGCTAATGAGTTTACCAAGTGAGGCAGTATAGATGGAGAACAGTAGGGAACCAACGACTGAACCTTGGGGGACACCAACAGAGAGGAGTTGGGGAAAAGAAGCAGAGCCAGAGAAAGAAACACTGAAAGAGCGCTGGGAGAGGTAGGAGGAGCACCAGGAGAGAGCAATATCTTGTAGACCGATATTGCGGAGGATGAGAAGAAGCTGTTGATGATCAACAGTGTCAAAAGCCACACACTGGTCAAGGAGAATTAGGATAGAGTAGTGACCATGAGATTTTGCAACGAGTAGATCATTGGATACTTTGGTCAGTGCCGTTTGCACAGAGTGCTGAAGTAAGCGACAAGCCTGTCCCAAAGTCAAGGACAAAGCTTGGTCAGGGAAACCAGAATACTAGCACAAGTCAGGAAACATGGAAGGTCAATAGCTGCAATAGCTTTTCTCAACAACTCTTTTTTTTTTTTTTTTTTACGTTTAATTGCATATAACAACATATCCAGCTTGGCATTACAATAAGATGCATTTTACAGACATAATAATAATGCATAATAATTAGACAGTAATAATCAGATAGTTTTGCATGAGAACAGGAATGTCTTCACATGTATACGTTCACTATGTATTACCTTATAGAGTATTGCTTTGAAGGTGATTATCAAGTAAAATAGACTATAATACCAAGCTGGCTTGAAGATCAAAAAGTAGAAAAAGAAAAACAATATAGAGGGAACAAAGTAACGAGGAACAAACAACAAATTAACATGATATATATAAATATATATTCTTCTTCCATGGTCATAAACAGTATTATAGGTAATCCACAGCATGAATACTGAACAGCACTTCCTCCCTAGGTAATTGTCTCCCCTTATTTTGAACAACCCGTCACCTGAGGTATTTTAAGTTTATAATAGTTTGCCAAACTGGTCAACCTATCCGTATCGGAAAACATCTTCTAACTCTTGTAGTGACAGGAGGACTGGTCTAGTCAGTGCACATATATGAAATGTACACGTTGTGTCCATTCATTATTCATTGGGAGGTTATAATGGTTAATCTACGGGTCCCACATTCTAGATATTTACATTGTTTCCCCAAACAGGACAAATGGACCTCCTCCAAGGCTCTCGTATTTTTTATGTGCCTCACCTACTGTTCCACTGTAGATGTAACTACTTAATTCCACAACAACGGAATGAGAGGGACCACCTCCCCCATAAGTGAAAACTGAAAATAGGGGGGAAAACCTGGTGATAGAGGGAGTGGTAGTTTTGTTACCATCCCAATAGGGTTAATTAGAGGGCGAGTGGCTGCAGAGCTTGTGGATTTGGCATGTCTGCCACAGTAGGGTATGTAGGGGGCTACAGGTAAAGCCTTATTCCAAATAAAACCATGCCTTTCATTGGTCGACTCTTGTCCATTCCCTCATCATAGAAAACAACACAGCTAGGTAAAAATGGAAGGCTTGAGGTAGTCCCAGTCCCCTCCTCTTTCATATTCCTGTCAAAGTACCATATGCCAACCTGGGGTGTTTGCCCACCCAGACAAAGGCAAGAAAGTCACTCTTCATTTTATTAAAGAAGGCACATGACAAATGTATGGGTAAGGTTTGCCAGGGAAGCCCTTGTAGGTGTAGGAGTAGGCACCACAATGCCATTTTTGAATCTCTTGTCCCCAAGGAATCTTGGAAGAACTGTCCTAATGATGACTTTTGTAAGCTGGAGTTGGCAGATGGAGTTGTCCCCACTCCAGTCTTGCTCTGTTTGTTCACCATGTATTTGCCTGTAGGTATGGTCATTGCTCACAGTGCTGCGGAGAACATGTCCATATTCTTTGGCTGCAAAGTCACATCCCCCTCTCAACAAATGTTTATTCATTCTTGGCAACGACTAAAATCTTGTCTTACCTCTAAAGACTCCCACTTTCTGTGTGGTCTGACCTCTGATGTCACATTCTGCAGTAATAGAATAGAATACATTGCCAGCAGAACCCAATAAACCAATATGGAAACCATAATAATGTTTGTGCAAATGCTTTATTACCTAGTATCAATCACATCTCAAGCTGTGCATCTGAATAGCTGAATGGGCATGGAGAAACATAGAAACATAGAAACATAGAATGTGACGGCAGAACTATTCGGCCCATCTAGTCTGCCCAATTTTCTAAATACTTTCATTAGTCCCTAGCCTTATCTTATAGTTAGGATAGCCTTATGCCTATCCCACGCATGCTTAAACTCCTTTACTATGTTAACCTCTACCACTTCAGCTGGAAGGCTATTCCATGCATCCACTACCCTCTCAGTAAAGTAATACTTCCTGATATTATTTTTAAACCTTTGTCCCTCTAATTTAAGACTATGTCCTCTTGTTGTGGTAGTTTTTCTTCTTTTAAATATAGTCTCCTCCTTTACTGTGTTGATTCCCTTTATGTATTTAAATGTTTCTATCATATCCCCCCTGTCTCGTCTTTCCTCCAAGCTATACATGTTAAGATCCTTTAACCTTTCCTGGTAAGTTTTATCCTGCAATCCATGAACCAGTTTAGTAGCCCTTCTCTGAACCCTCTCTAAGGTATCAATATCCTTCTGAAGATACGGTCTCCAGTACTTTGTACAATACTCCAAGTGAGGTCTCATCAGTGTTCTGTACAATGGCATGAGCACTTCCCTCTTTCTACTGCTAATACCTCTCCCTATACAACCAAGCATTCTGCTAGCATTTCCTGCTGCTCTATTACATTGTCTGCCTACCTTTAAGTCATCAGAAATAATCACCCCTAAATCCCTTTCCTCAGATGTTGAGGTTAGGACTCTATGAAATATTCTGTACTCTGCCCTTGGGTTTTTACGTCCAAGATGCATTATCTTGCACTTATCCACATTAAATGTCAGTTGCCACAATTCTGACCATTTTTCTAGTTTAGTTTTTGAAATGATGCAAAGGAATAGTGTCCAGCATCAGTAATGTGAATCATTAAATGGATACTATAGTGATAGGAATGCAAAACTGTATTCCTAACACTACAGTTCCCTTGGCCCCTTCCACTAGTGGCCACTCCCTGGCAGAGTAAGGGATAAAAAAAAAAAACCCTTACTTTACTTACCCAACCACAGTGCCAACCACACCGCCTTCTCTGGCGTCACCTGGCGGGGAGTGGGGCACTAATGCGTATGCATGGCAAATGCCACAAGCGCATTAGACCATCCCCCTAGGAAAGCATTGCTTCAATGCTTTCCTTTAGGGTTTTGCTTGATACTAGACTTCCTCATGCCATTTATTTCTCATGCAGTCTTAACACTGTAATGTAATTATTGCAGATTCTCCGGAAACAGCAATAATTACAATTGCAGAGTTAAGTGGACAGGGACATTGCACCCAGGCCACTTCAATGAGCTGAAGTGGTCTGGGTGCCTACATCGTCCCTTTAAACTATTATTTTTGCAATTTACATTTTTTCTTTATTTTCCAAATTATTTCCAGTAAGGAAAAGTAAACAAAAAAAACAAGGGGATACAGAAAAAAGAAAAAGGGTTGGGGGTACAATCAGTAGTGTTACATTGTTTTAATCATATACTTATCATACAATGTTATGCAATACTCATACTACATTCAAATAAAGTTTATAATATATAAGTCCTGACCGCATTTATTTTATTTTCCCTGATGAATATTGGTGTGTACACTATGAAACTCACCTCAGGGAAATTTAACCACTAAAAAAAAAGAAAAGAAAAGAAAATTCTCTCCGCTCCGATCTTCATATATTTAGGTTAAACTAACAATAGAAGCTTATAATTAATTTAGCTGCTTAGTATTGTCAAAATACATTAAGTTAAATTAAATATTAAATTAAGTTAAATGTCCTACTTATTGTATGTGTCTTAAATTATCTTCAAGCCCGACCTGAATAAGTAAAAAGACTCATTTTAAACTCCTCATAAACACTCAGCATATGTAATATACCACAACTCCCTTATATTACAGTAGCTCAGTCCTGAAGGACTGGGCCAAATTTTTTAATATTTTTTTTTTTTTTTTTAATTTTCATTTATTTCTACTGGGTTATATTCTGAATTATATTCCTGATAGTAACCATAGAGAAAATAAGTTTAATTTATCATATCTTATACTAAATATATACTCCACATATCTATTAAACTTATTTCGTTATTATCTTTGTATATAAGCTTTCCAACAACTAGCTACTTTTAAACTTAACTTCCCAATTTTAGTCTGATCCCACATGATGAGCTCATAATCTATAGTCAGGGACATTAATGTTTTGATTTCATCTATTGTGGGTAGGCTTGTAGTCTTCCAGTTTCTCGCTATAAGGGTTAACACTATAGATAATAATAAAAAGATTAGTTTACGCGTAGATTTAGGAATATGGTCCAGAAAAGCTTTAAGAAGTAGCATTTTCGGTGTGTGGTCTGGCTTATAAGATGTCACCTCTTGGATCATTATTTCAACCTCTCTCCATAAGCTATTAACTCTTTCACATGTCCACCATATATGGAGCATAGTTCCTTTATGAGATTGGCATCTCCAACATATGTCTTGTGCATCAGAATACATTGCATGAATGCGAGTGGGTACCATATACCATCTGTATAGGATTTTCCGTGCTATTTCAAAGTGTCCTATACATGAGGACATTCCCAAATGTGCCGTAAAAATGTTGTTCCATTCATCTTCTGATATAATTTCTTGAATATCAGATTGCCAATCTATCATAAATTTTGGTATTACTGTTTCTCTTGAATTTATTAAAATATTATAACAAAGTGATAATACTTTCCTAGGTGGAGTTAATGCTATGCACATCTCTTCAAATTTCGTGACTAACTTTCGGGTTGTTTGATGTTCTACATACAGATTATTATTGGCCAAAAGAGCTTTAATCTGCCAATATGCAAATTTAGATTGTGGTGGAAGTGTAAATTCTGATTGGAGAATCGAAAAAGACTTTAACCCCTCTATAGTATAAAGTTTAAAAATGTGTGTGATTCCTTTTCTATGCCACTGTAAATAAGGAAATGTTTCATTACAACTATATAAACTTCTTATGGGGGTTGCCAATGACCATGGATACCCTGAACATAAACTTTCTCTATTACTATCCCAGATTTTAAATAGAAGTCTTGTCGGATGTAATATGTCGGAGGTTACTTTCCGTTTTTGTGGGGGAAGCCATATTAAAGAATAAAAATCTTGTGTTCCACAACAGTATGCTTCTATTGCTACCCATTGCGGAGTATATCTTTGTGGGTTAATAGAGGCTATATTGTTTAAGATTGCGGCAAAATAGTATATTTTCAAATTTGGAAACCCCATACCCCCACTTTTCACTTGTCTCATTATTAAACCTTTTGGAACTCGGGGATGCTTCCCACCCCAACTAAAACGTAGCAATATAGCTTGTAAAGATGTAATAAATGTTTGTGGGACCTTAATCTGTAATGATCTGAATAGGTAAAGTATTTTTGGTAAGATTTGCATCTTAATTGCTGATATTTTGCCTATCCATGATAGTAATACGATTCCCCAGGCTTTCAATTGGCTTTCCGTATCTCTAAATAGTTTTTTTATAATTAGCTGAAAATAAGTCTTTCTTTTTTAGTAAATCTAATTCCTAAATAAAGTAGATAATCTTCCCTCCAATCATAATGATAATCTAATTTAAGTCTATCTTCTTTAAATTTAGGAATATTAAGGCACATTGCTTGCGATTTACTTGTATTGATCTTATAGTACGAGTTTGTACTATACAAAAATAATTCTTTCTTTAAATTTGGTAAAGAGATATGTGGCTGAGTAATTGTTAACAAAATGTCGTCTGCATAAGCGTTAAGTTTATATTCGTTCCGCCCTATTTGAACTCCCTGTATATCTTCATTTTGCCGTATTGCTGTAAGTAAAGGCTCTAAAGCAAGAACATAGAGCAACGGCGATAGGGGACAGCCCTGACGTGTTCCATTAGTAATATTAAACGGTCTTGAACAAAATCCTGAAGTCAGTACTGTCGCTGTGGGATTACTGTAAAGAGCCTTTAAACTATTAAACATGACATTTTAAATGTTATGGCCCTAAATATGTATTATTTTCCAAACCAAAAACCAGCCTTTTTTAATGACATCTACTGAATTTGATAACAATCTCTCTATCTTTAGTGTTCTTGTTTTAAATAACCACTTACAGTGCTGTGGGTAAATTCTTCCATTCCTCCTATTAACTTTGTAGCCCTTATATGCACTTTATTTAGTTCCATAATGTTCTTTTTGAAAACCTGTCCAGTAAGTAGTAATCATACTCATAGGGAGTAAAATCAATAAGCTAATCAAGAAAGTTGTTGGAGATTCTTACTTGATTTATTAATAGGTTTCTTTACTGAAGTATATGGATTGTATATACAGCAGAACTGTACTATATCATGGGTGGCACCTCAGAATCATGAAGTGATATGACTACTGGAAAGGCAGGCACACACAGCAACCTTAACACCATCTTATAGCTGAACAGGCTGGGGAAACCCTCTATCGGGTGGTAGGGTGTGCTGTTGTTTTAAAGGATCACTATAGGGCCAGGAACACAAACATGTATTCCTGACCCTATAGTGTTAACACCACCATCTAGCCCCCTGGGCCCCTCATGCCTCCATAAATATAGCAAAATCTTACTGTATTCAAGCCAGAAGCTGTAGATCTGCATGCTGTTTGCCTAAAAAAAAAAAAAACAGTCTGCTGACATCATCAGAAGTGGTAGCCTGATCCAATCACAGTGCTTCCCCATAGGATTGGCTGAGACTGGCAAAGAGGCAGATCAGGGGCAGAGGCAGCACAATTTAAACACAGCCCTGGTCAATCAGCATCTCCTCATAGAGATGAATTGACTCAATGAATCTCTATGAGGAAAGTTCAGTGTCTGCATGTTTGGATGCATTTTAGGCAGCCATGACGCAGGAAGGATGTCTAACAGCTATCTGAGGAGTGGCCAGTGAAGTTTTCACTAGGCTGTAATGTAAACACTGCATTTTCTCTGAAAAGACAGTGTTTACAGCAAAAAGCCTGAAGGTAGTGATTCTACTCACCAGAACAAATTAAATAAGCTATAGTTAGTCTGGAGACTATAGTGTCCCTTTAAGACGTATTCAGGGTATGTCATCTTAAGTCATACACTTCAAGGGTAGAATAATAACATACTATAAACACATGTGTCTATCTCTTGAATTGTCTTCACATGTGTTAATAAGATAAGAGTCTGTCCAAATTTGGAATGGTCAGCGAGGTATGGCACAAATCTGGTATGGATGAGGCCTAAATGTTGTCCCAAGTATCCCATTCATGTTAACCTCGGTGACTCCCTGAGGAAGCTGGAAAGTGAATGCATGCAGAAGGTGGGTGAAGAAAATGAACAGTTCCATCATTGCCAACTGTCTCCCTAAACATATGCGATGGCCTGTGAAAACAGAGAAGGTAGTTTGTGAAGATGTTCATACATAAACGTTTGTGTTGTATATACTATAAGAATTACAACCTAAATAAATATACCAATTCATGTATCGATGCTTTCTTTATGTAGATTTAAGAAGTTGATCCCAAACAACTTAGTTGGTTCTTGGCTCAAACATAGCCTTTTAAACAACCCGCGTTTTGAGTGTGTGATTCAGAATACCTTTGTGTCCACCCAAATCCCTCCATTTCCACTCTCCTATACATATTATTCTCTCCCACCCCCCATCCTGTGTATCTTGTCCTCTTGACTCTTCCTGCCGCACCCCACCATATTTTTGTCCTTGTTGCCTTAATAGCCCCTTGGTCTGTCCCACTGCTCCTCATGTCTCTCTATGCTCCTTGTCCTACATGAATCTCTCCATCCCCTCATGCATTTACTATCTCTCTCCCCAAACCCTTATATGTCTCCCCTTCCCTGACCCTCCTCATAAGTGTCCCCATCAAACCTCAAAACAGTCCCAGGTTTAGCTGTACAGATGCACACTTCTTGTTTTCTCTTGCTGTTTCACATATGGAAACACCAGAAATCAAATCCTTTTAAGGCAGTGGTGCCTGAAAAGTAGATCCCCAGCTGTTTTAAAATGACAGCTTCCATGATGCTTCGTCATTCGAAAGGCATGCAAAGCATCATGGGAGTTGTAGTTCTACAGCTTCTGGGGATCTACCTTTTGGCCAACCCATGTCTTAAGCCATATTGTTAGCGTGTCATCAGACTTGCTCACTCTGTATAAAATTGGATGCTATTCCCTTCTCCTCATGTGTCTAATTTAACCCCTGCCCACTTGGATATATTTGTCCTCTCCTCTGCCCTCACATGTATCTTCATCCCTTTCCATACCTTCCCCTTATATTAAGCTGGGTATATGGAACAAAATAATTTCTATTTTCAAAAAAGAAGAACAACCTGCTGTAACGTAAACTGCATTTGCCCCCTTTATTTGTGGGGATATGGTGTGCTGCTTTAAGGATGTCAGTTTTTACCTGTGGAGAATGGCAAAAATGCCTCTTTGCTCTGAAAGTTTCCATGTTCGTCCAGGAAGTTGGATGGACAGAAATCGTTGGGAGATTTCCAGTAGTTGGGGTCACAGAGCGCAGAGGCCAAACATGTCACAATAACTGTACCCTGAAAAAGAACATTGTGGATGGATAGTTTAGAATTATGGGCTAATTTCTGTTTTTTAGTTGCTGGCAAGCTGTTAATGTTTAAAATGGTTGTTAGCAAAGGCTATTTCTATAATACAGAAATTCACTGTTAGTGACTGGTAACTTGTGCAAAGTTTTTTTTTTTTTTATAATTCTTTATTTTTGTTGTGCGTAAGCTTATAACAGTCGCTCTGAAGGTACCCCAAAGGTAATCCTCCGGCGGATTAAAACAGTCAAACATAGAGGTACATAATAAAACAAGCACATTTTTTTTTTTGTAAAGTTATACACAATCTAGTTTTACATTACGTAGGTATTGTTAGGATATGACAGAACGTAGTTAGAAAGTTGGCGATCAAATTTAATAACTTGCTAATGTTTCTCAGGCTTGGACATTTCTATAGTTAGTTACAGGTTAAACTGGCTTAAACCTGTGTGGTTGTAGTTCGCTATAACAGGTAATATAAAAAGTGTTTCAGTCGTTCTCACAAGCATCGCAACAAATTATATCTCAGTAGGACAAACAGAGAGCGCGTTTACTCCACTCTGTTCTTTATAGGCACTATGTTTGGTTACACATATGTACATAGCAGTATTTTAGGCATTCTCGCTAACATTACGTCTGATGATCTCTTAGTACAAGAAATAAAGATCCCCTTTACTCTAAGCTGTACGTAATGGACCCTGTGCTTTGTTATCTATAAAACGCTTACTTAGCTCCGACTATTAACTGCCCATCTAAACTACACAAAGCAGCAGGAGGAGAGAGTGTGCAAGAAAGAAAAGGCCGCCGAAAATGTACAAGACTAAGTAGTGAAGCCAAAAAAAAAAAAAATAATAGTGAGAAAAGCAAAATAATGTTCCGAGGCACAAGTTACTGGCACATATGTAGCATAGTTCCAGGTGAGTGTTGAGGCTCTCTGCCGATGGCGTCTGTTAGTTTGCCTCATTGCCTGGCGTGTCGGTGGTCAGCCGATTCCACTACTGGGCAGGGAAGCGCTTGGTGTCTGAAGTGTCTGTACGGCTTCCGCAAGTCCGGTTCCCCCAGCGGCTCGGTGTGGCGTGTCTGTTGCCCTTGCCTCGGCGCGCCGCTCTGTTGCAGTCCTGGGTCGCCACGTGGGAGCTTGGTGTTCTGTGGAATTGTGTTTTGGCGTGTTGCTGGGGCCTTGGGGGTACCCATCTCTCACCTTACCCTGTTTGTGGAGGTGGGTGAGTGTGCCCGGGCCTGAGAGGTTCGCTTCTCGCCCTGTTGTGGGTCGATGCCTGTGTGGCCGGGCTGCCTCCCTGAAGGACCGCAGTGGGTCTCCATATCGGCGTCGGCGGGTCTCCGGACCAACCCACGAGGCTACCACCCGTGCTGCATGAGGGTAGGGCACTCCCCTGTCACACATTATCCTGCAGAAAGCCAAGCAGAGCCGGTCTAAGGCTACTAGAGGATGAGGGTGCTCCTGGGTGATTCTGGTTGCTTTCTTTAGTGGTCGGTGGGCGGCCATCTTGGGCACACTCTGCTGGCTCGTGCCTTCGCCGCTGTCAGCGTTGTCTCCCTTGCCTTCTGCGTTAGCCTGCTTGTCTTGTGGGGACCGGGATATCCCCCACCGGTCCAGGGGGGGGGGGTAGGAGTTCAATCGTGTGTTCTGAGGTGTCTGGAGTCAAGGAGAGCGGCCGCCTCTCCCCGGCTCCAACTCCCGCAGGCCTCAATTTGCGTTGCGGTCTATGTGCCCCTACAGGATCCAAAAGGGTATCCCCCGATTCTTTGGGGCTCCCCCAGCGTGGGTAGAGCACCTTTGTACGTCTTTGGGCTACACAGCTGCTGATATCGCCTTATTTTCTGCTCGCCCGCCGGGAGCTCCTTCCCCATGCGTCTGTTCAGCTTGGCGGTCAGACTCCGGCCCCCTTGTGCAAAGTTTTGATGTCTACCATACAGAACAATAAGATATAGGAAATGCTATAGTGACACCAGGTTTTCGTGCTAGGTGGTAAAAATGACCACCTCCTGGTCGGATGCGGCTGTGAACTCATTTAACTATATTCCTGCTTCAAGTTGAAAAGACAAGATAATGACTGCAAACTCCCAATGCATCTTTTAGAAAATAAAGTACTCCCGTACTAAAGTACAATTAGACACGACAGCCTATCTATAAACATGGTGTAACTCAGCCATGGTGGGAGGGGGTGCACAGAGCGTCACTGTCCCTGCTGTCCAAATTTGTAGCATGGAACTTTTGGAACCAAGGTGAAGATTTCATTATCCTCTGCCTGATCTTCAGGAAGGGAGTTGCCTCTCTGATACAGGCAGTCAACTCCACCCTTATGTG